GTTTGCTCGTATACTCTGAGAGAATCGTCAACTAGGTGGAGGAATATTGGTATACCTAGATACAGCAGAAGTATTGGTAGTCTCTCTAAGCTTTCTGCCATTAGTCAACGTAGTCAATGCAGAAAAAAAGCTGTAGTGTAGCTGTAAGCATACGTAATGCCAGAATGGCTGTCCGCGTTTAATTGGCGGCTCGTACCGTCTAGATCAAGGTTGTCCAACTGTCATCCCGCAGCCCGTATGCAGACCGCAGGGCCGTGAAAGTTTTTAGTCAAAAGTAAACAGCTCTTGTATCCTTTTGTCAGCTGTGGCGCCAAGCATACGCTCCCTTCCCGAGTTAACACCCTACATGTAAAAAATAAGCTTTAAGTTTGGATTTCAAGCAACTTTTTGTTAGCAAATTTAGAAATTCACCAATCACCCCAAATCTGTTCAACTGCGTATGTACAGTACGGCCTGACTATCGGCGTAATTTCTGCTTAGAGTTAATGCAATTTATAACTCTTGAACATTTTTTAAAGGAGCGCTCTAATTTTTGGCTTTCTCTTAAATTCCCCGTATGAAACAAGATAACACTTCAAAAAACGCGGCCCAGATCTCTTTTCATGTGAATTCTAAATTTCGAAAACTTCTCTACAATTCGAAATATTGTGACGAAGAAAGCATGTGCTGCTGTAAAAAACACAGTAGTAACATTTTGCAAAATGCAGAAATAATAGTATGGAAGTAATAAGCAATGTTTAATTGAAACAATGGTGTTTCGTTTTAATTGCTGCTAAATAAAAACAAAATTTTTTTATGTCCAGAACAACTGAATTTGAAAGATCACTCAACACATATAGTTCATTAAAAATGAAATTCTGACAAATGGCAAAAAATAATAAATATGCCTAAAACAATCTGCAAATGGTCTTACGTTTGAGTATTTTTCGCTGCGTTAGATGTTTTTAAAGAAAGTAATACTATTTTTGGTTTGCTCTGTAAAAATGTATCGCTTTGCTAAATTGAAAAGTTCAAGTTGTAGTGTGGTTCCTCGAAACTACCCTTGCTGCTCGTGACTATTAGTTCTTTTATCACACTTCGTTTGCTCATTTTTTACTTATTAAAAAAATACATTTTTCAATCTGAGCTATAAATATTTTTCGTACTTTTCTTGAAAAAAAAACGTATTTGTCAAAAAGCTTTCGTGGCCCGTACAAAAACTTTCGCGGGCCGCCAGTGAACCCTCTGAAATCAATATATTGTTTTATTATGGACTATTGTTGGTCTTTTCGTTTAAATTTGGTTTGTCTCCGACAAATTACTCAAACTTTATCAAAAAGTGATAGATACCTTCAAACCGTGATAATCCTTTCAAAAAACTCATGGAAAAAATTTGGCATGCGTTTATCTTATTTCTGAACAGTATTTGAGGACGATTACCGAAAGCTACGCAGTACTTCATTACAATCGTGAATTAAAAATGCCGTGGTCGAAAAATGTATGTTATTCTTTATCAAGTTTTAATAATTTTCATCAGACTAAAAAATTAGAGAAGTCATTGTTTGTATTACTGTATTATATATTTTCATATCCTTTTAATACTTTGCTTTGGCGTAACGAACACATATTTAATTCATTTCCATTTTAAAAAAATGATTCGGGTAATATTCGTTATCTAAATAACTGCCAAACTTGTATCAAAATACATTAAGCCTAGAAAGCAGAAATGAATAAAATTATGGTTTTGTAATTACGAAAGTATTCTGAAAACTATAACAGTCTCGCTTTCCGGAGACCATACACAGTTTATTACTAATTCACCAATAACTAAAATTGTATTCCCTTTGGCCAAATATTGAGTATTTATCTTGCAAATGAAGTGGATGATATAATATTTCGTATGAATAGAGAATCAAATGAAAATTGGAAGTAATACATTGATAAATTTATCAGTCTTTCAACTCTTTTGGAAATTGAATTTCTTCACAGTAAATTTCGTATTTTACAATTTTACGTAAAAGTTTTATTAATAGGACACGTGGTTGATAGCGTCTGCATCTCACAAGCCTCCCACGAGGGGTCTCCCACCAGTGGGGCCCCACCCCAGCCGAGCTCTTAGCTCTCGACCGGTCTCCCGGCATATGTGATATTATAGTGCATGGTAGTGTAAGTGTGCTAAAGGGGTGAGGATATGTCAGGGAGGAGGAAGGGAAGATCTTTATCTAATGTATTGTATATTTTCATATCCTTTTAATACTTTGCTTTGGCGTAACGTACACATATGTAATTCATTTCCATTTTAAAAAAAGTAATACAAACAATGACTGCTCTAATTTTTTAGTCTGATGAAAATTATTAAAACTTGATAAAGAATGTCTTCAGTCCAGTGTTTCCAGATGAACGATTATTATCGTACTTTACGATTCGTTATGATGTACGATTTGCGATTATCGTAAAAAAACGCGTGAGAAATGTACGATAATGTGACCAATTTTACTTCATTTTTATACGAATTCTATAAATGTCAATAACTAAAGAAATTTTTAAAAATATCTGGAAATCTGTTGAATATATTTCAGACTTTTGCATCGAGAGGTGGCTCAGTGCATCAGCTGATGTCACTGCAGTACCTCTGACTGGGAGGTCCTAGGTTCGAGTCCCTACGGCGACAGGATTTTCGACATTAACTTGTCAGTCGATCTCTGGAGGAGAATTCTAGCAGCTGACGACTCTGATCGGAAGTTTTCCTGGGTTTCTCCGATCAACACGAGGCGAATACCGGACCAGTATACCCTAACAAACTGATCACGGACCACAGGCGATCTTCCCTTCCTCCTCCCTGACATATCCTCACCCCTTTAGCACACTTACACTACCATGCACTATAATATCACATATGCCGGGAAACCGGTCGAGAGCTAAGAGCTCGGCTGGGGTGGGGCCCCACTGGTGGGAGACCCCTCGTTGGGGAAAACCACGGCGGTAGATCGGCGCCGGATATCGGCATTCTGCGGGGGAAGATAATCACCACCTCTCGAGGAGGAAAACATGCACAACACTTACGGGACTAATGACCTTAGCCGTTGGCGCGTCCGAAATCACTAACAATCAATCAATCAGATTGTTGCAGAGAAAGTTGGAATTTCTTTTATAATAACCCTGTAAAATAACTTTCTGAAAATCTCTGAAAAGATTTTTGGTGGATTCATTTATTATTCACTTTTGCAAAGAATACAATTTTATTTCTCTCCCACACAATCGTATTAAGGGTAGTTTCCCTTTCGTATCCAATTAGAATAACAAACATACACGCCATTTTCTAAAAATATGTAAGAATTATTATTTTCATTCGATACATTAATAAAAGTAATGTTTTAAACCCTCTGTATAACCACTTGTAACCATAATGCATTGTATTCTGAATTAAAATATATCTTTGAAAATAATGTAAATGAATACGAATTAAAATTTAAAAACAAAATTATGTACGATAATTTTGTACAATATTTTTACTAACATACGATAATTTTATTTCTCGCCGTTCGATAATTGTGTGATAGCGCAGAGCGATACACTTTTTAACTATCTGGTAACATTGCTTCAGCCTGTTTTTATTACTTGCAATAATGTAAAAAAAGGTATTTGTCGTGGTAATGTGAGCATGAGTAGTATCAAGTAGGGAATAAAAAAATACATTTACTTGATATTTCCATTAGATTTTGTGGCGAAAATACATCGCGCGCAATTGAGAGAGATGTGGTGTACATCCCACCACGCCCATCTCTGCTACAGATGATACCAAAAATATCTTGGACTCCAAGAGGTTAAGAACCCTACACGGCTGTTTGCGAATTCTCTCACACTCAGAGCTTCTTTGGATCTAAATCCGTATTCTCAACTTAGCCCCCGACTTCCTGTCGTCGCTCAAAGCACGCTCAGGAAGCCACCCGTTTGGCCCACGAAATGGCATCGTTTCAAATCTGCTTTTTACCGCAGACGTAATTAAGGTGAAAAATTATTTCCATTAATTTAGTAAAAATATTAGTTGAGCAAGGATTTAATTACAAAAGTGATATTGTTAGTGAGGCAAAAACCATCTTTTTAGATTTTCCAGAAGAACACAGATTAATTTAGCTACGTTATGTACATTCATTGCAGTTCAAAGCAAATCATTTTCCTGAACTTGACATTTAATATATTTCCTGACTAATTCATAACAAAAAACATTTCCTAGTACTTGCGTGTCTTCTTTAAATAAATTAGTCTATTAATGCAACTTAAGCTGTGAGCTGAATAACCTTACGCTTATACATGCATTGGACATCGCAGTGTCGGTTGCAGGCATGTCGCTACAACATTCGCTTCTTGAAACTGTTATAAATACTATATTGTTAGTCATTTTAGATACATCGGCTAAATCATAAAATCTATAATTGAAATAAATGTAAATATAGATCATGAAAAAATTGTAAACGTAAAAAAACAGTAATTAATGTAGGAGCAGTAATACAGGACAAAATCTTCCAATTCAGCCAATTATGAACTATTGACAGAATTGCACATTGGGATACATTATAAAATAAGGAATGTTGAAAAAATTGTATGATATGTTTTTCAGAAAAAAATCCAATTATTGACACGTTAGTGATTTCTTTACAGCATGACCTCAAATATTGCGGACATCAAATGGGTCCGTGCCGCAAGAAGCCGAAATAAGAAGAAAGCGTGTGTGTTATTTAGGCAATAACGTATGTAATTAAAACATTTCGCGAAAAAAGCTAGGCGATCGCTATGGGAAGGGCGAACGAGTGGCGCCAGGGCGCAGGACGCGGAGAGGGGGCGAAGGAGAGGGTGCGCGCGGTTAGTAACTCCTGAGCACAAAGGGGCATCTTGGTCACGTGACCCAGCAGTTTGCAGTATGGCAGCTCGGGCGGCGGAGAGCGCTCCGGGTCGTATTCCGCTCAAATCCGATAAACGTAGCGTCTCGCGGGCATCATGAGCGTCGCAGACGAGCGAAACGAATGCGTACAACGCGTAGGAACACCGTATTGCCGGGAGGTGAACTGAGGACTCGTGCTGAAAGCACGAAACAGCAGCTCTCTCCCGCCTCGTCTCGCACGTAGGCCTACACGACTACTGCAAAGGCAAGTGGAGTGAAAAATGCGGCGGCGGGCCACCAGTGCGTTTTCTTCCCTTTTCCAGCGAGTGTTGCGCCTAATACACATGCATTATTGATCTGAGTATCGTGAGTTCAGTGCGGGCTCCTGTGGATGTCAGCAGAACATTTTTCGTCGTTTTTGGTGGGTGTGCCGAACGGGCCAGGTGACCGTATCATATGCCGACTCGGTGACCTGCATTGTAAGTGGATGTCAGTCGTACGGAAATCCAGTGTGTGCGGCGAAAAGGATGCTAGAAATTGTGTTTTTTCGGGGTGATCGAGAAGCGGAAATTCAAGATTAGCGCGTTCGCAGCGTGTTGCGGGCTGCCGATGTCCGTTGCCGTGGCGCATTACGTCTTCTGTTGGATTATGTGCTGCAAGTAATCCGTTTCAATTCTTGTGAGTGTACAGTGATCCGAATTACTTGTTTGTTCTGAAAAGAATCTGTTGGTTTACGAGTTAATGAATTTTCTGTCAGGATGTGAAGTGCGCGCATAAGTGCTGCGGGAGCCCTGCCTATGACAGTCCGGGCGTATTTGACGTTACCAATCCACCGTACGTGATCATACCGCGTAGTTCGTCTCATAGCTAGCGGGGTACTCTCGTGGCGGTGAACTTGCGTAAAATAACGTCATTATTCTCTTATAAGTTTCGTTTTAACTCGCAGATCTTTACAGGATTCGCAATTATGTCCAAATGAGAACTGTCATTGCTGAGGTCACCGCCTTAGAAAGTGAAATTGAATTTACGTTTTCTTCTTGCGTTTACGAGTTATTTAAACACACCGTATGGAAAGGGTTTAGTCCACGATTGTTTGTTTTACAATATTCGGTACTGAGATATTGACGATATCATGCAAAAGCTTTCCCGTTTCTTTGATTTAACTAATAAGTATATTTATTTCCTTATTTATTTGTTGGGGACAGAATTTTAGTGAGACAATTCTTAATTTTATTATCTCTCTATCTATCATGAAATATCCTTTCTTTATTAATCCTTCCCTTCATTTTAGACAATTTACAAGTTACATTGCAGGAAAGTCTAGAATAACAATTACTGCCTATTTTTAAATTCAAAATAAATTTTAAAAAATGAACTCTATTTCATTGTGATTTTATCAGAAATTATACTGCTGAACTTAAAAATAAGAAATAATATTTTCTTGGAGAGAAATTGCAAAAATTACTAAATGTCAGAAGGTCAGAGTGAAATGTGATCCGTTCTAAGTGAAAAAAAATTAAAAATATATAATATTAAAAAGATAGATTAATACCTCATTTTAATAAAAAATATATATCACAAGATTATGTTTTAAAAGGAACTTGTGATGGATGTGGAAGATCTACAAAAGTGGTCATGATAAAACTCCATTCCACTAACATTTGCAGTGGAAACTGAAGTGAGAAGTGCTGATTCATTTGTGAAAATCACATACAAAATCTGAATATGTAAATGTATGTAGTTTCTGACGTGTAATAGTTTTTAGTAGAGACAACTCTGTCGAATCACTATATATGTGAAGATCACTAATTGGTATGTCATTACCATCATTTGGAACTTTGAACAAACTGATATATTTTATATCTTATAATATATTACATCCCAGTGACTATTATTTAGTAGATCTAGAAGTATTTAAAGATTTGTGAATGAACAAAATTTGAGAAAGTCATTAATCTTTGATTTTTTTTTCAATGACTTGATATGTATGTGCATACATGGTTGCTAAACATTTCTGTCTACTTAAGTCATGATTTTTTTATTTGGACAAC